AGATTTAAACAAAAACACAGAAGCACACAAAACCAAAAAAACAACCATCAATCAACCAAATAAGAAATATAAACCACAACAAAATAAACCTGTAATGAATTCAAGATCGCCATAGTCCCTGCCAGTCATGCTCAATTATTTCTGGTCTTTTCACTATCAGCAATCACAGTTCTGGGTTCTACATGTAGCCAGTTGTAAGGAGTCCAGAGTATATGCCACTGGAGGGAGTATGTTGTAATTGTAGAAACTTCCTTGCAAAAAAATTCCATCTTTATTCTCAAGACTTCCCCGCTCTATGACTAATCAAAATACTTCACTGTCACACAAGAAATTCAAAAATGCCTAATAAATATGGAATAAGAAATTTCACCACAACTATAGCCATTGGATACTATAAGAATCAATATGACCTTTTATTCACGCTCCTAGCATGACCTCATTTTTCCTCAGGTTACCTGTTTCTAAGTAGGTTTTTGCATCTCATTTTAGATTTGCTGTGACCCAGATGAGGAACTAAAGGTATCATGTCACTTATGCTTCTGCCAAGTCTGGTTTTACTTATTTTCTATGATGAACAGACCTGTAAGCACACTGGGCTTTTCCCAGAAACTCAGTAACCCTTTCATAAGATACTGGACAGAGTGTCTGATTTACTTCTTGGAAAGGCTAATTTCCACTGATGTGTATGAACTGTTTCAACTTTATAAATTTTCTTTTGGTCCCTCTAATTTCCTGTTAACCACGGGCAGAAGCTCATTTCACAGACCACTAAAGTCTTCCCTCATATCAATATCTCTACTTGATACATGACTGAGGTACACTTTGAACTAGGAATAAATCTCACACAGGCTCCATCTTCTGAAATCCTTTCTTTGACAATAGGACTACAGCTCCCTTAGAATTAAAGTTCAAGTGAGTCATTGTTTTGCTTTTCATATAAAACAGCTGCAAAAAACTACTTTTCTTTCTTTATCCCAAAGGCTAACTAAAATAATGGATTTAAAAGTATGTATACCATACATGGGACATCAGTCCAAGCTAAATCAGAGATCCACCAGCTGTGCCCTTCAAAGAGAACTAGAAAATTGTATAGTTTCCAATGAGAAAATAAACTGTATAAAACAAAATATTCTCCTTGCTTGTTTTGATACTTTAACTAATTGGCATAGAATACAGGAAACAATGAAAAAAATTATTTTCAGCCACAGGATGCATCAGCCCTTATGGAGAGATTATGCTACATGTATTAGATCATAATGTCAGGTGTGTACTACCAAGGAAACACAATATTCCCACAGTCCCACATTTTATTGAATCTTTACAATTGACAGTATTTTTAATGTGTTGTTCTCACAAACAGCAAAAGGTGAAAACCATATCCATAGATATTGATTTTCTCAAATTTATGTAGAAAATTATTCCATCTGTCAATTTTAGCATAATTTCAGTAAGATACTGCCCATCCTAAAAAAAATAATATATATATATATACTTTTTGTTATGCAATACTCTGTACTTCCACTGTGAAAATATTTTTGGAAATAGTATTCATACCCATACATTAAAGTGGTAACAGTAACTCATTGAAGGACTTAATATAAATTATAATTACGGTTATCATTGTGCAAAATGAAAAAGTTGCTCCACTTCCCATGAATTCCAGACTGATACAGTGGAATCAGAAGTTTTGTAAAGGGTCAGTAATGCTTGTATTTCATTGATGTATATATGAGTTTTTAAAAATAGTACTTTTTTAAGAACTGTGTGTTTTTTAAAAAATATTCATAAACCATATGCTTCAAATTTATAAATATGTGATTCACAAGAACTCTGCAGTACACTGTCATGAAGATTAGGAGTTCTTGGCATCAAAATTATTCCTAAATAGGCATTGTATATATTTCTCTATTATGCAGCTCTTAGCACAACAGATCCTTGATGCAGCCGTTTGAGGTCTCTGACAGTGCTACACATGCAGTTAAGTACAAATCACAAGAGAAAGGCTTCTCTTCCATTACTAGATGCAGTCAGACACAATTTTACTACCTCTGCCACAGAAGGATACAGGAGGACCTGCATGATGCTAGGACTGAGGTTCAGTATCTTGTGGTGAAGAATAATTCTTCGGATGCCTAATCATTAGATTGGTTTTGCTGTAAGAGTAGCAGGTATTTTGTAATCTCTGTTTTCCTCCACAATTCTCTATCACATAATTTTCAGAGTATTTCATTATATTCTTATAGATTGCAAGTTACAACGCAGGATTCAGAATACAAGAGGATGTCATCATTTAATCATGGTAAAAATGCCCTCTGACCCAACAACTTGAATAGTATTACTTAAATCTCTAGGCTAACATGCAACAGAATGCTACAAGACTTTCATTCTGCTTTCCTATGAATGGAGTTTGAATATTTCTTAGTTTATTGTAAATTATGGCATTAATTTTCAACAGTTTCTGACATCATACTTTTTAAGTTAGGGACATTTTGAAAGGCAAGTTCTGTGTAAAGATGAATATATTAGATCATCATTACTATCAATGTAAGGAGAACAGGGGAGGAAGGGGTAAAACTTTACAAGTAACTTTATAAGAAGGGAAGAAAGTATATTTTATGCCTCATGCTGAAGTATTCTGATAAAACTAACAAGCGAAAGTCTTGCAGCTTTCCTTCACTGTTTAGAACTTTGATCAGTGATTTTTGCAATGTAAAACCACCTGTTTCCTGTATCTTGGATTCCTCTCCTCAAAAGCACAGAAGCTGACAACTCGTATCACTGATCCATGCAAGGCAAGTTTAATATATTTGCTCAAGTGCATGATCCATGTATTTTTGCCCCAGGAATAATTAGTTTCTTTAAACTATCCCTATTTGTGATTTCTCTATGTAGTGAAAACAAGACACGAAGTGTGACTTAAATGTTTTAAAAAAGCCAACAAAACCAGTCTCTTCATTTCTTAAAAATAAATAACTTAATCTTCTTTAATCCTAAAAATATACCTTTAGAGATATACATCTTTATTATGTCTAGAATTAGTGAGTTATAGTGCGGCAACATTTGCCTGGCCTAGCACTCCATTAAGGCAGAGTTCATGTGCAAGACCCAGATACCCATACATACATTGTTTAACTGAATTAACACATTCATGGTCATTAAATTCCTTTTTCAAGTGGAAAAATCAAAGCATTCTTTAACAAAGTTAGCAAACATGAAACGTTTCCCAAATAGATTGAATGAAATTCAATGAACTAGCACCTAAGTAATGCATTATATATTTTGATATTAGATCACTGTTTCACAACTCAATCACCAAAAGAACTCTTTCAAGTTCAGACTCAAGAATGCTTGAGAAGAATAGCAAGATCTTCAAAGACTTAAGAATAAATAATGACTGACTGTGACAGAGGCAGATAAAGTACCAGCTACTACAATTAATAGGATCAAAACCTTCTCATGATGAATAATCCCTTTTTGTACTGATGTTACCTGAAAAGTGGACAAATATATATATATGAACAGAACGTATATATTTATTATATTTATGGGAAGTTTAAAAAATAAAGAAAATAATGAAACTGTACCAGCAACAGTATTTCACATCCATTTTTCAGGAATATAAAGAGAGAACACAAAGCATGTAATGTTCAGTTGTAATACAGATGGCTAAGATTGCTAATCATATTTCACACTGGAGTTCTACATACTATTAAATGGAAATTTGCATTGAAATCAATAGCAAAATTCCCATTGACCCAATAGAGGCAAGATTTAACTCTTGGTAACAACATAAATTACTTTATGGTTTATATTCAGAACAGTTACTTTTCATAGAGCACAAATGATAAACCCTACCAGCTTAATCACAATTCATGTCAAAGAAAAAAAATTGTATCTCAGCATATTCCTGAATGACATTCAAATATGGACTGTATGGCTTGGACAATTTCTTTCTCCAAATCTACACAGGGTTCAGGGTCACAAGTTTGTCCTAGGAAATGTCATACATGATGAAGAAATTCCCACAACCATATCTGTTTGAAGAAGTCAAAGCAATACTAATCTTTAAGTCTCCTCTCCTACTTGTACATCAATGGGAAACATTTACTTTCAATAATGTTGTCCATTTGCTTTATTTCATTCTCACTTAGGTTCTGCACATTTTAGCAAAAGAGGTCTCCAACTGCAGTTGTTTCAAACTTTTCACTTCTTGGAAAATTGGTGGAGTGTTTATTGGGACTTTGGAGAAGCTGATCATAATGCTGTGCATATTTGGAGGCTGACCCATATCTGCATTCACAGCTTTAAAATAAGAGCAGAAAACCTCAGGGTGAGGGGGGAAGGGGGAAAACAAACACTGCCAGGAACGATAGCCCTGAAATATATGAGACGAAATACTGAATTCTTCTTTGGGCAGCCTTCTTATAGGTATGGACTTCTTACAGTTGCTGGTTTTCTGGATGCTGGGGGTAAAGTATGCCACTATACACAAAATATATATATATATATATAAAAGCTATGTGCTTTTTTGTTTATAGGAAGAAAATTCCCTTGTACCATAAAAAGGGATCTCTTCATTCCACAAAGAGAGATTAGTACCTCAGAGGAGGCTAGAATTAAGGCAAAGACAGGCCTGTGTACACAGAGAGTGGCTCCATGTTTTCCCACTTCTAAATGATAACGAATCATTTTAAACAAAGCCCTGCACCTGTAATTTCTTATCCAAGCAGGGGCTTCTGCTTGAGTTAGCAAGACCCTTCAGTAATAAGATCTGCTTACTAGGAATAGGGCTCTAGAAATTTTTAGATATTCAACATATATATGTATTTGCACACACTCACACACACATGTACATATACACGCACAAACATGCACACACACAAATTTATAAATAGATGTATATATATGTACATATGCAAAGAGACAATATTGAAAACCATATTAGACTTGGCGTGTAATCCACTTTTTAGAACCATTTCAACTACTATCTACACAGTACATATTGAAACTCAACTTTAAGATTTTTTATTTTTATGTACAGTTCATTTTTTTCTCTGGAAATAAAATATCTAAATACAGACAGACTGTAATGTTGTATATGTATAGCTTTCAACAATACTTTAGCTGAATAAATGCTTTGTACATAGTTCTGTCTTTTAATGGAGTTTACAGCTACATTAATAAAATGGATTCCTCATTTCCTTGATTGTTTTTAACCAATAACAAGCAGAGAGACAATTACAAGTTAATATTAATAAGCAGCTCAAATAACACTGGTTAAATTATGTACAATACAAACCATTCATACAAATGAAGACTAAGATATTGAATTTGTTACAATATTTTGTAATAAAGATAAGACAGCCACTTATAACTTACATGTTCTCCTCCAGGCATTTTCCTTCTTAAAGATCAGCTGCAGTTTTTAAGTAGTTTAGCTGGCCTAAACTCAACCAAGTTTAAAGAATCAGAGTTTAGAGACTCAGAGAAACATGAAACCAGAATGTCTGCTCACATGTAAATTCCAAATGTTTGCCCATCTTTACTAGAAACAGGCTCGCTCCATGGAAAAAGAGCCACTTAACACCACCTCGAATGTGCCTACTGTATGCTGGAAAAAAAGTCATGACGCTTTGCTGTGTTCATATAGTAAGGAATACTGAACTCTAGACACACATTTTTCCCATTTTAACAAGTATTTACTCCTACAGTATTATTTACCAGTAGAGCTACTCCAAGCAGTAGAATGCATGAGTGAGGATTATCGATTGGTGTGTACTTTAGGGACTTTCAGGGAGATTTCCATAACAGTCTGTGTTAGAAACCTTGCTCTGTCTAGTTAATCCATTTTACTTGACGATAGGTTATTCTGAAACCTTGGATATCAGACAATGAAAGCTTTCTTAACAGGAATCTCAATAATGTGAGCTGGAAAGTGTGTGTCTCTGTGTATGTGTATGGTTTTATTTCAAATCCATAGTGATTTACACCTAGATTGATACATGGAGCTGACTGGGCAAAAATTACATAAGATTGTTTTCCACTAACATATTTGCAGCCATTTGACATCAGCAGCAGCAGGTAGACACATTCCAGGCAATAGATGTGGCCTTCCTCCTTGAGGTTACAGCCCTGCCATACGACCACTTTTATTCCCCAGGCTTCAGTCTCAGACACGAGTTGGTCCTCACCCTGATGGGAAGTAGGGTGTGTCACTGTGGTAGTTGTAATCAGGACACACCTTCTGTACTAGTTTATAATCTGTACTATAAAAGGAAATGTAAATACAGATTACTTTAAAGGGCTTGGAGCAAAGCCATGACACATGGCTCTGGGTCTGCTCCTGATAACACGTTTTTGAAGGGTCATAGTTGCAGAGTGTGTTCTTGGTAGCCTTGTCAACTTTTTCATACTCGATTCGACAGTTAAAGGACTTGGAATCTTTGGCATCAATCACCGTCTGTTGTGCCAAGTCAAATTCCACTATTTTTGTAGGGGGTACTAGGCTCACAGATACATTCCCTTGACCAGTGGAGTTATGCCTGAAGTAAACACTAAACGTCCCATTGCCATGGTCAACGATTTTCCCTGTTATTAACAGATTTAACTTCACAGTCTTGATGTTGGAATGAAAATCTCCCCAGCCGAACATTTTCTTAAATTTCCCAGTCTTGACGATGGGCCGTCTCTTTGCTCTGGGCCGAGGCTCTTGCAGATCTGTGGAGTTCCTCAGCCAGTCCCAGAGATCTTGCTCAGAATAAGTTTCTGGGGCATCATATCGTAGGTCCAAATCTGTATCATTTTCCTTTCCACGAAAAGTCTGTGACAGCAGTCGGCTAATGGACAAGTCTTTGCTACTTTCTGTCCATATGTGCTTTAGTGTGGATTTGGAGCTTCCTGATTTTAGAAGTTCTGTTTTTCCTCCATTTGTTAAATTTGCACAGGTAACCTGAAACAGAACAGGAGAAGAAAGAAAAGATATATTGAGATAAGTAATGCAAACCCTGCCGTTCACTCCTGAGACCAAAATGATCAGATTCCAAAATCATAGGGAATTATTTTTGAGAAATTAAAGTGTATTTCTCTACTCAGTAAACCAAGACAGAAACACATATTTTTCCCCTACTTTCCCAGCAGTCATTACTTAATTCTCCTTTAGCAATTTTTTACCCTGGCCTTAACAGCAGCCATTCACATTATTCTTCTCTTATGATGTCTGTAAGTGATGGCTATGTAATGAATTAGTACAAAAACTGAGGAACACAGCCTTGTCATCCTTCAGTCTATATATGGCTGTATGTGACATCTCAGAGTGAAGCACTCCTGTGTGAGTGTGCTCTCTGCAAAGTGGCTGTGTCTTCCACCACCCAAGTAACAATCATTTATTTTGGTTGCCCCTGGAGTCCACTGTCAGGGTGCTGTCTTGGCGGTGCCAGCTGGACCATGCTCAGAGTCTGTGTCATTACATATCTAATAATAGCAATTTCCCTACTTCTTTTACGAGTACACATTGGTCTGTGTTCGGACTGGGACCTTCAGTCACAACTACAATATAAATAACAGTATAATGAAAATTTTAATGACTTTGCATCGACAGCTGTGCATGCTGTGTACTCCACCTCAATTAATGCAGGAGGAGTCACAGTCTTTTCTTATAGTCCCTTACAGACTAGCAACTGATTTGCTTTTTTTTTATCTAGTATGACATGCATTTCTCCTTCCTAACTTGCTTTTTCACAATTTCCTCTCCAAATCAAATAGTGATCTCTGCAAGACAGAAAGCCTTTTGTGTGCTCACAAGATAAATAGGGCCACCAATTTAAAAATAGGAATAACAAATATCCAGCAAAATCACATTTTAAAACAAGACAAAATCTTGCGCCAAGTTACTACAAAACCATAAATTTCAGACATAGTTTTCCCCAAAATTTACTGTCAGAGCAATTTGTCTTATTTATATTTTTCTTTTTGCCTTAAATGTGTGGAAAACAGAGAACAGATGCAGGCTCACAGCTGTCTAATGTGCAGCACTGGTAAAGAGTTCTGACAGAGCATAGCAGGAAGGGCTAGAATTGGTGGGGGCAGCAGGTGGGTGGAAAGGGACTGATAACATTTGTAGTCCCATTCTCCCTAAAAATTTGCACCAGACACACTGACCCATTTTTTCGCATTTGAACTGCTCTAAGGAGGACATCAAGTTTCTTATTTCCCTTTTCATGGCTACATACGAGATTCTGAATATGCCTGTTTTATGCCTCTGTATTCTGGCACTGATTTATGTGCTTCTATCATACTTGCAGTTATATCTTTCTCTTAGCTTAAAAATGAATCAAGCGTACTCCCTACCCAGGAAATCCATTGGAAACCAGATAGTATTTAAATCATGTCTCCTCCCTACTGGTACAACTGGAGGTATATGTCACAGAGGATATCTATCACAGCATGGCCTTTTCAATTCCTAACAATCATGAAATTGAAGCTTTCATTAACTTCACTAGTTGTTCAAGGTCATTTGAAGGCACATATATAAAATCAGTCTAAATTGCCTTAATATACTGATCAGATAAGAGGTATGCTCCCAGCCTTTTACAGTAAACAAATAGATAAAGAAACCTGCCACATCCCACACTATACCTCCCCAGTCCATTTCAGAGTGGTGGGCCAGTAAGGATAACAGGCAAAATATGGGTTTAATTCAGGATTTTGCCAAAAAGCTAACTTCCTCCTCTTTTAAATGGACAGAAGGATTAAAATACAGACTAGCATTCTGATAGCCAGTTCATAGCTGCATCTTAGCATCCACACAGGGAGCCAGGAGAGAAGCTGTAATGAAATGCACTGATGGTGCACTGGTTAATGAAGCAGCAATGGAGATGTCACAGGGAGAGAGAAAAAGACTCAGAATATAATTTTTCATGGCATATGGGGAAGGAGTGCAAAATAAGAAAAGAATTGTGGCTAAAAGGAAAAATGTGCCTGTCTAGCATGAATCTGTCAACCTGCTATGAACCTAAGCATTTAGATAGCAGAGCTAGTAAACCTGCAGACTGTAGGTAGGATACAGACTGCTTACCACTCTATTTTTCTTTGCTCACAATTTGTTTTACTTTGTTTTAATTTCTTCAACCAATTATTTACATTTCGTAGGATTACACTACCAGTTCCATGTAACAAGATGCAAGAGTATAAAAACCTTTAAAAGAGAAGGCTTCTCTTTTTTTCAGGTGTATATGAATGGAAGGAGGTATTTTCTGAAAAGATTGCTGACTGATCCAATATATGTGGTTTTTTTTGAAAGTCAGTGTATTTCATGGAAATGGATTATTCAGATTCCATGCATTCTATACTGCTTCATACCTGATCTAACAGATACAATTGATTGTTACTGTCATTGATTTTGCAATACCTGAAAGACTTCTGGTCATGCAATTAGCTACAGCATCTCTGTTTGCGATTTTCGGTGCGGGTAACTGGCTGCATTCACGATTAAAGGCCTAAATCTGCCCTCCCTAGTCAAGTGACTGTGTAAGCACCGAAAAAACAGGCCACAAGGGTTAATAAAAAAAGCTTTAGAATTCATTGCTCTTCACTAACATTTTACAACCAACTGCTTTCTCATATACTGTTAGTGTTCTATGTGTCATAGAAAGTAGCTATATGTATCCTCAGAGACTCACACACCCAATAACATGGAGTATTGCTGTGTAATAGAATTTCTGCAAATGCAGCAGGTTTTTTCACACAAACTCGCCCACAGTTTTCTTCGATCTCTCTTCTTTCCAAACACAAGGCTGCAATAATACAGGAGAGAGCATGCAAATGCATGAGATTCTGCATTTAGTGTGTGAAACTGAAACAGATCTATATCAGTGGTGCATGAAAAATAGAGCCAATTTAAACTGACTAATAAAACACTGAACAGCCTATATTACATGGTGGCTTTTCTGTGCTCTTTCTTGAGGATATCTGCACATAATTCAGAAACTTGCATGATCTACATACTAGTTCACTATAACCAGAGTTGCCTTTCCAGAGCCAAGTGTCACTCCCAGAGGAAACATTCAAAAGTATGGCCCACTGGTAAGGGGTCTGGCTAGGACAGAGTTGATGTTCTTCGTAGCAATTCATATGGTGCTGTGGTTTCGACTTTTGACCCAAATGCTGGAGCACACTAATGTTCTAGCTCTGGTCGAACAGTGTTTGTACAGCACCAAAGCCTTCTCTTCTTCTCAGCCCCTCCAGACTGGGTGGGTACACAATGGATTAGGAGGGGGCACAACTGAGCAGAGAACCTGAATTAACCAAAGAGATATTCCATAATATGTAACAAGATGCTTAGCAATTAAAATGAAATGTGAGAGTTTTAGAGGGACTTAGCCATCTTTTGTTCAGGAACCAGCTGGGCATCACTCTACCCATGGGAGCTGGTGAGTGTTGCATTTGCGTCTCTTGTTCTGGTTTCTTCTCTTCTCTTCCCCTCTTCTCTCTCTCCTACCACATATCCTTCACTTATTAAACCTTCTTTTAGCTTGAACCCCAAGTTTTTTGCTTTTATTCTTCTTTCTCTGTCCCATTGGAGAAGGAAGGAAAGCAAGCAAAGAACTGTGAGGTGCTTAGCTGCCCACTAGTGTCAACACACACCACCACTGCACTGCAATATATCAGTGTTGTAAAAGGGCTGAGGAGCAGGATTTCCTTCATGATTGCATAGCTAGAAGTAGTTTTGAATGATGATGATGTCAGAACTGTCTGTATAGAAAAATACTAAGGAGCAAAAAGATTTAGAAATGCTTATCTAATGCTACAAATGTCTTTGGAAAAGCACTCAGTAAGCATAAGAGACTGACATTTGGTTCTGGTCTTGTATTTTTAATGGAAAGTATGAATTTCCATTACCTAGTAATATCTCCCGATATCAAAAAGGTACCAGGAGCTGACTGCCTGGTAGCTCCTTTTCAAAGAAGAATGACAAATTGTTATTTCATTTCTTCTACTTCTTATATGAAGAAGCAAAGACAGTGGTTTCACTGGGCACAACATCCCAACGCATCATTAAAATGACATAGGAAATGAACTGCAATTCATTTTTAAATCCATTAAAATAGAATACTCCATTAATTCTGTATCCTGTTTTGAGGGTGAAGAATACTTTATGATGATGTTTAACATCATTAAATGTACTTTAATGAACATATGTAGTTCATTTAGGACTTCCTAAAGGATAGGCAGTTTATTTGTCTCAGAAATTTTGCAGCTGTCTTTCAAAACACTGTGGCCTGAGTGTTTTGTCAAGTCAAATCTGAATATTTGGAGCAAAGTAAATGAAGTTAAAAAGGGATCTCAGGAAGACATGAAGGCTTTATGGTGATTTAGGACCTCATCTCAGTGTAAAATCAACCATAGGCATATTAATATTAATTTAAGACTGATCAATTTGAGATTTTAAAAAATAGTAATTCAAAAAGGTACGGAATGCCTCTTGATTTCTCACTCTATTCCTTTTATTCTAGCTCTATTACAGTTCATTTTCTATAATTACAGTATTGGTTTAGAAATCATGCATTTATTCCTATGAATGTATGACTACTTGAGGGCAAATGAAAATGTAAACAAACAATCTAATATTCAAGGTGGAGAATCTCCCCCTTCAGGTAAATAACTAATCAGAACAAAGATCATTTTTGCTGGCATAGCACTTGTAAGAACATGGCAGCACTGTGTTTGCATATGCTCTTTGCAAAAGAATTCAGAACTTTCTTGCTTCAGTAAGATATCTCAGATACAAGAGGTAGGAGTGTGCTGATGGACATTACAATAAGCTGGACCATTATGAGGGCAGGACAGCACTCAGAAAACACTCTGAAACAGACCTCTCTGGTTTTAACTTACAAGTCTTTTTGCTGCATGAAATGAAAAGAATAAGGATCTGGGTTGGTCAGTCAAAAAATGCAAACTCAGATGAGTCAGACAAATTAAACAGTAACTCCTGATCTGCTGTGTTAAGTGAGAATGCAAAAGTGGATATGCAGGATCAAAGCAAAGACTCATTTAGAAAAATCATCCCATCTCCAATAGCAGCTGTAAGACATGCCTGGAGAAGAGCAAAAACATGGCAAGCATATGACTGTCCCCTAATTTCTTCCCAGCCATCAAATAATTCTACATTCCTCTGCTAGATATTGCTTCTGTATATGCTTTCTGCTTCAAGAACTCTCAATAGACTGCACTTCTGTGCATTTGTTCACTCTAACCCTTTGTAAAGTTTTGACCTCCATAACACACTTCAGCAATGAGTTCCACAGTTGTATTTCCTCTTACTGTTTGTTTTGAACCTGGCTCTTGATGCCTCTTCTGGAGAACTCTTCATTCTCCAGATGGAAAATTATGTCTCTATCCAAATTTTCCATGCTCCTCCTTACTTCTCTTTGCGGCTATACTTTACGTATTTTTTTCTACAGGTATCAGTGAGTGGAAAATTTTATTATTTTGAGCCACATAAAGAAGCCTACTTCTAGCCCACTAGTCCATGCCTCAGCTATATCTATTCATAATAGTAAACAAATACTGATCCCTTTCCCAGCCCTGAGTACCAACACCCTGGATCACAAATACTCCTGGTACATAAGCCATTCTTTAAATTTCCTTTTTGTCCTTCTCTGAAGCCTTCTCAACTCCACTCCCAGTTCTGTCTTTAATGAGAATAGAACAGCACACAGTATTCAAGACGTGGCAGAAATATGGTCCTGTATGATGGCAAATATGGCTTTCCATAATTTGTTCAGTCTTTTTTCTCTATTAATTCATAATATTTTATTTAGGTTTGATCACTAATGAGAAGTGAACTGATGTTTTAATGAAACTGTCTTAACACTAAAATCTCAATCCTAATTATATATGGAGCTTGGATTTATATTTATAATGTCTTTCACATTACATTTGCTGCCACAGAATTTAATTCCTTAATTTACTGCCTATTTACTAATTCTGATAAGATCTCTCTGTTATTCCTCACTCTTAGCTCTTATCTTTTCTACTCTGAAATATTTTGTCATCAACAAACTTTGTCACTCATCTTTCCCCAAACATTTAAAAATACGTTGAACAGCAGACGTCCTTCCACAGAGCCCTGCAGAATTTATATGGTGATCTCCTTTCATTATT